ACACTGTATCAGGTGTACTCACAATAATGACGGTAAGACGAGGTCCTTCCAGTATCCAGAAATAAGGACTAAGGTTGTATCCCCACCAGCACCTGGAGCAAGGAGAGAGTAGGTGAGAGTGAGGGAGGGTGGGGGGAGGTGGGGAGGTGGGGAAAGAGTGAGGTGAGGGAGGTGTGGAGGTGGGGAGGAGGAGATGGTGGAGAGTAGGTGGTGAGGGAGGTGGAGGTGGAGATGGGGAGAGGAGGAGAGTAGGTGAGGTGAGGGAGGTGGGGGAGGTGGGGAGGAGGTGGGAGGTGGGGGAGAGGAGGAGGTGGTGGAGAGTGAGTGGTGAGGGTGGGGAGGTGGGGAGAGGGGGAGAGAGTGGGGTGGTGGGGAGGTGGGGGGTGGGGGGAGGGGTGGGGGGGAGGTGGGAGAGGGTGGGGTGGTGGAGAGAGTGGGTGGGAGGTGAGGAGGGAGAGATGGGAGAGGAGGGAAGGTAGATAGTGAGGAGGTGGGGGGGTGGGGAGGTGAGGTGGGAGAGGTGGGGGAGAGGAGGAGGTGGTGGAGAGAGTGAGGTGAGGTGAGGGAGGTGGGAGGTGGGGGTGGGGAGGTGGGGTGGGGAGGAGGTGGGGAGGAGGGGGTGGGGAGATGAGGGGGTGGGGAGAGGTGGGAGATGAGGGGGAGGTGGTGGAGGTGGGGAGATGAGGGTGGGGAGATAAGAGGTGGGGGGAGAGGCTGGGGGGGTGGGGGAGGCTTGGGGAGGGACAATTAGTTATGTATAAATGATCAGCTGCTATGAATGACTCAGCTGTTATGTATGAATCAGCTGTTATGTATGAATCAGCTGTTTATGGTGTATACTTACTCAGTGCCTGTGTGCTGGACGGCGGTGACAGCTGCCCATACTGTCGTCATCACCACTGGTACGCCCTGAACAAGTTGTATATCCTGGAAGTACACCATACACCACTTATTATACATGCCTGAGGTGATGTATGGGGATAGGTATACATACATACGTGAGGATTATTTAATACAGTATTGAATTCACTTTATACATACACCCTGGAAATGTATACAGAGAGAGAGAGAGAGAGTTTCCTTTATTTATCCTGTTGTGTCATTCCATCATTCTTATAACCTGACCTAACCTACCTGACCTAAACTAACCTACCCTACCCTACCACACCACACCGCTACCCCCACCTACCTACCACTACCCTACCACTACCCTACCCTACCACTACCCCACCACTACCCTACCCCTACACTACCCCTACCACACTACCCTACCCCTACCCTACCACACCCCTACCTACCCTACCCACTACTACCACTACCCCACCCTACCCTACCCTACCACACCACTACCCCTACCCCTGCCTACCCCTACCCCTCACCCTACCCCTACCCCCCTACCCCACCCCACCCCCACCCCCTTACTACCTACCCCTACCCCACCACACCACTACCCCTACCCCTACCCCTCCCCTACCCCCCACCTACCCCTCACCCCACCCCACCCCACCCCACCCCCACCCCACTTCACCCTACCCCACCCTTCACCCTACCCACCCCACCCCACCCCACCACCCCACTTCACCCCACCCCACCCCACCCACCACTTCACCCTACCCCACCCCACCCCACCCCACACTCCCTTCACCCCTACCCCACCCCACCCCACCCCCACTTCACCCCACCCCCCCCCCCCACCCACCCCACCCCACCCCTTACCCCACCCCACCCACCCCACTTCACCCTACCCCACCCCACCCCCACCCCTCACCCTACCCCACCCACCCCACACCCACCCCACCCCACCCCCACTTCACCCTACCCCACCCCACTTCACCCCACCCCACCCCACCCCTACCACTAACCTCAGTAATACACCAAACTAACTTAAACTTTAATTGAACCGATAAAATTAATCATAACTCATTTATAGGAACTCGACCTCACAAGTCAATTAACCTGATGGCTTACGAAGTGGTTGAGGTTACTTAACACTTCATACGGGTCAAAACACAACAAAAAGGAAGAAAAACACAAAAAAAAACGGAAAACACTTATATCAGAGTCTTTTGAGAGTTGTTTATTTGTTTGTTTTATTCCTGGTTTTTTGGGGGGGCGAGGGGGTATTTTTGTTGTGTGGTGTTAAAGTTTTTATTAAATGGTTGGTTTATTTTGATTTATTTCTCTCTCTCTCTCTCTCTCTCTCTCTCTCTCTCTCTCTCGTTTCTGTCTCTTTTCCTTACCCCTCTCTTTCTCTCTGTCTGTCTCTCTGTCATTCTGTCTGTCTCTCTCTCTCTCTCTCTCTCTCTCTCTCTCTAAGCCAACCTGCCGACATTGGATCAAATTCCCTTTATTTCCTCAGGTAATTAGACCGGTTGAGTACAGGTAAACTTTTTTGTATTTTCTTTTAGTTAATTTTTACCCACAATTAGTTAATTAGAGTTTGTTGAAAGGTGTACACGGGATAATGGTGTACTGTATGTTGAGGGCTGTGTTTTACTGA